GTTTCGGTAATATTCTTCTCTCGAAGAATTTTTACAAAATTTCTATATTTTGTATTAACAATGTGTGTATTTTCATATAACCATGAGTACATATGGTAAATGCTATGCTCGAGAGTAAACAAATGTTCCACTGTAGCTGGTTGCAAGTACATGCAGTTACCGGATGTGAGTTTTAAAAGTTTCTTGCCTTACATTGTGCACTATTCCACCGCCAAATTGCGAATCCATAGCGGAGAGGATGACACCTCGGTTGTTTGCAAAAGTTGTAAAATATCTTCACGGTTTGCCATCAATCCTCCCCAAATTGCCGAGTGTAAGGCCAATTGATTGCCACGATTGTCGCCGAGGACTAGTTGCACTGTGGATACCAGTCCTACGCTGATCCCAATCTCCAAGTACTTAAAAGACGTTGACGTCAAGGCATATCTTCGCCCTAAAATACGGGCTGTACAACGAGATTGCGATACACTGTAAAAACATAAATAATTTAACGCGGTTGCAATACACAATTAAAGATAAATGATTTACAAGAAGATAATTATTGAGACTTACCTTTTTTTCTCGTACGGTGGAGCATCATCTTGCACGGGTACGTAATAGTTCATACGATTTCTTTCAACACTGTGCATTCTTCTCAAAATAATAATTGTCCATTAAATGTCTTTGTTGCGACTGATGCAACGAGTGACCAAGAACCGCTTTAAATACATTTCAAAATTCCTCCCCACCAACCGAATGCAGTGCATAATAATAATAAAATAAATGAGATTCACCTAATTTTCATCTACTTCTACTGTACAAATATATTTTATCAAATCATTCAACAAATCTCTGATACGGCGCCGTAGATAACCAATCGAATACTCATATATCGATTGAGTGTTTCGCGCCATACTGCATCATCGAAAAAATCGATTTCCGATATTTATATCAAAAGTGCAGTCCAAAAGTATTCATGTAAGATCTCTCTCTTTTATGCGTCACAATGCAGCATTTTTATGCTGACACATCGATTTGCAGTCGACAGTTAGATGCGCAGAAAATGTGAAACATGATATTATTATTACAAATGAACACGTGCGACAGTAAGATTCGCAGAAAATGTGAAACAAGATACTATTACGAAGGTCATAGAAGTATACATATTTTGCACATTTGCAATCCCTCCTAAACGAGACACATTTTTGTTAGAAAGAGATGGAGATATACTGATGATATATATATATATTTTCAGAGTCGTACCATGCCAATATGCACAGCAGCATTTGTAAATCTAGTGTGCACTTTGTAAAAGAAATGGAAGATTTTGCGCAAATCGAGCGAGAATTGCGGGAGCAGTCGGCTCGACTGAGTTCGCGAGACGAATACGACGCGTGGGTGCAAAAGTGTGACGAGTGCCTCGAGTTGTTGGAAGAACATAGTCGGGCTAAACGACCGCGATTATCGATCGGTATTAGACAGTCATTGATTGCTCGAATCGCGCAACTCGAGGGGTTAAAAAATACGTTGCGCACACGTTTTGTTCACGCGGGTACAGAACACAGTACGAGAA